ATAAATTAAAAAATATACTAATAATTATTTTTAAATTTGTTACCGTCTTTGTGGTACAACTTCAAATAAAGTGTGCAGTTTACGACACACACCCTCAGTAAGGGCAATGCTGCGGTCGATTTCTTAGCTTCCCTCGAACATTCTTCTCCATCAGGCATTAATTTGCTTGATTTGCTGCTGTATGGTCTAGGTCCATTCTTCTAAGGAACTCGCTGGAGGCCAGCTTCCCTCACCTATATATAGTGTTATTTTTTTAATTTAGTTACTTTATTAGTTACTTTATTATATGCTATATTAAAAACAATTATACAAATATGGTGGAAAATCAATAAATAGATGAGGATTAATTAGTTGTAGAGTGGAAAAACCATAGCGCCTCAGTTAAACAGAAACCATAAAATGAAATTTGAAAAGTTTAAGAGCTTAATTGTAGAATAATTAATTTTGGCAAACTTATGTAAGAAAAACATTCTATTTTTAGTGAAGCAAATGCATATTTTTATGTCAATATATATAAAAAATTATATAACAATATCTATGAAAAGACAGAAATATTATTAATACATTAACATAAATAAATTATTTAACCAATAACATGTTGGTTGGAGTGAAAATAGTTCAGTTCTCCTTAAACAAGATCTTGAGTTTGAGTCTTATAAATGAAAACAAGTACCGAGAGAATTTCCTTTTATATGAGGTTCGACCAGACTCGATTCCGAATTAGTTAGGATCCAATGTGATTTCTGAATATCAAAAAGTTAATAAAAAAATACATAAATTATTTATTGAAAATATCAATTAGTTTTATAAATATATATATTATGAAACAAGTCAATTAATTAAAATTTCTACAAGGAGGAGAAAGAGGAAACGAAGGATTAAACTTGACTATCTGAGTGAAAGCATGTTTTTTTACTAATGATTAAACTAATTACTTTATAAGTTCTATTCTTTAAAAAAAATTTTCTTGTAAGTTGATCTAAATAAAAAACACTTTTCTGTTTGTTGAAACTAAGTTTTGCAAATTTTCTACAAAGGGCATACAAAGTTTTTGGTCAAAAAAGAAAAGGAAAAGAAGATGACCAACGGTAAATGGTCATTATAACCGATGAATTCCACGGCGGCGGACCGGCAGTCAAAACGTCAAAGAAGCAATCATTACGGGCATACATACCTCCGTCAACGCCGAGGACAGGACGCCGTTATGCGTCCCAACTACCGCATATGGTGACGTGGGAGGGTATGATCCGTTCCTGTGTTAAGACAGTTGTATACCGTCCGATGTGGGGTGCGCGCGTGGTGGCCAACGGTGATTACAAATGACACATAATAATTACGAAAAGATACGGGCGTGGTAACACAGATTCACCCCGACGACAATTTACTGAGCATTCCAGTAAAAATAATTAGAGGAGTGGTAAAACTAAAAAGGATGACAAACCGAATCGGGTTTTGGGTTAGTAGTTAACCGTCAAACCTTAAACACTTGAATTTGGTTAATTAGGAGTTTCGACTCCCACTAATATTTTGAAAAAAAAATATTTTCATCTGTTAAATTTCTCAATGTTTAAAAAAAAAATGTCAAACCCATCAAATAGATATGGTTTGTTTAATTTGTGTATTTAAAACATATGTAATAAAATTATTTTTTTAATTAA